CTCCCAATCCAAGGGCCAAGAGCTTCAGATCCTTCTTCGGTCAATTTCATCATATCCCCCCGAAGGCTTCGCTGAACGGAGCAGCCTCATAAACCCTAAACCCTAAACCCTAAACCCTAAAGGTGGTATAGGGTCGGCAGTATGTTGGCCCGCGTGCGGCGGAGGCCCGGCGGAGTGTTGGCAGTCAGAGTGCTTTCTTCAGCGACTTCGGCAAGGCTGGGACAACTGCAGGGCACCTACACCTGCACGAGACCCCCTGCTACCCCCTACTACACACTACGACCTCCTGCTACCCCCAAACGACCCCCTACGACCCCCTACTACCCCCCTAATTACTACCCCGTACCACCCCCAACTACCCCCTACGACCCCCTACGACGATGAAAACCAGCCCCCAGCCTGCTGTATTGCCTGCACTTGATGCACTTGCTGCTGCATGACACCTGGGCGCAGCGAGGCTTCTTATGCATAGCTGAGCCAGGCGAGCCCTGAGAGCATGAACCTCCACAAGAGGCTTGAAACAACCTGCAGTCCTACCTAAGCCCCCCATCCGCCCACCAAGTCGTGCAACGCTACATCCTGGCGTCCTCAACAAGTGAACTGCAAACCCCAAAAGCAAAGCTCAAAAACTCCGAGCCGCAAAGACAGAATCTGGTTGTGCCACGGTGTATAGAAACCCTAAACATCTCTAAACCCCAAACCCCTGCACCCCTACACCCCTACACCCCTACACCCCTACACCCCTACACCCCTAAACCCTAAACCCCCTAAACCCTAGTCAGGCTCTCCGCTCATCCTTGGAGTACCGCGTTTGTACCGTAAATCCAGCATCCGGGGCGTGTGGTGAGCAGAAAGAGCTCGTATCAACAGGATTAGGGTCCAGGGTCTACGGTTTAGGGTTCAGGGTGTAGGGTTTAGGCTTTAGGGTTTAGGGTTCAGGGCTGATCATGGCGGATCAACCCGACAAATGGACTTGATGCTGGATTTACCACACAAGAGGGGTGTTTAGAGTCCTGCACGCCGGGCTTGAAGGGCTTTTCCATCAAGTCGGAAACCACCTCAGACCCTGGAATCCCACCGAAAAGCCGCCCTAAACCCTAAACACAAAAAACACTAAACTCTTCTGGCTTACCAGGTAGGGCTGCCGCCTTGCATCGGTTGTGGCCCCTGCTGGTTGGCCATCATGTACGGCATTGGCGCCTGTTGAGGGTTTAGGATTTTAGGGTTTAGGGTTTAGGGTTTAGGGTTTAGGGTTTAGGGTTTAGGGTTCAGTGCCTTCTTGCCTCTGGCGCGTAGTCCCTGGTTTACCGATGTGCCAAACTGGGTGTTCGCTCTCTCCACGCCTTTCTGGGGAAGGCCAACGTCACCCGTAGCCGCTGATGCATTCTGAGACACTCGGCTTCAGAGCATCCGGCGATTTAAGCCCTACTACGGCAACTCTCCCCAAGACAGCTCACGAAAGGCCTGCCCAGCTGGACTCAGAATCGTCTGCGGCACGAGCATCATCACGGGGACGACGTTGCCTGCACCAAAACCCGTAACCCGAAACCCTAAACCCTGAACCCTAAACCCTAAACCCTAAACCCTAAACCCTAAACCCTAAACCCTAAACCCTAAACCCTAAACCCTAAACCCTAAACCCTAAACCCTAAACCCTAAACCCTAAACCCTAAACCCTAAACCAAGCCACGGGCGGGCCTTGCTGTGGAAGGTTGACGGGCGCCATTGCTCGTCCTCGGACCTGGTTTAGGGTTTAGGGTTTAGGGTTTAGGGTTTAGGGTTTCGGGTTTGGGGTTTAGGGTTTAGGGTTTAGGGTTTAGGGTTTAGGGTTTAGGGTTTAGGGTTTAGGGTTTAGGGTTTAGGGTTCCCCGGAAGTGAGACAAAGTTTGCGCAGCCGACCGAAGCAGGGAAGCATCCCTGGCAGGCGCCCCTCCTTCCAACCCTCAACCCCTAAACCCTAAACCCTAAACCCTAAACCCTAAACCCTAAACCCTAAACCCTAAACCCTAAACCCTAAACCCTAAACCCTAACCCTAAACCCTAAACCCTAAACCCTAAACCCTAAACCCTAAACCCTAAACCCTAAACCCCTAAGCCTTTCAAACCTTCAAGGACTTCTCGAAATCCGTCAGACCCAGAAGGATTTGCCGAAAACTTCAGACCCTGAAGAACTCCCCTAGGCCCTTCAGGTACTGAAGGGTTTCCCTAAGCCCTTCAGAAATTGAAGGGCTTCTCCAAAGCCTTCAGACTAAAGGGTTTTTCCTAAATAAGTCAAAAAAAGCTGAAATTGTATGTATGACATTTGCTTTGAAAAAACAGTTGAAGCAGTCATGCCTCAAAAAAAAGCCCACATGGTGCAGTTTACTTAAACTTGCATGCAGGCCACAGTTTTTCCAACTCATTTAAACCTTCAAACTCTAAACCCTTAACCCGCCACAGTTTTTCATTCATTTAAACCTTTGCTGCACAAACGGTTGTCCAAAGGCTGTTTGTCGACAGAGGCGGGAGCAGATTTTGTTTAGACCAAGAGCTTCTGACCCCTTGAAAAAGTCCAGCCCTCAGACCAGGAGATTTTGACCCTTTTAGGGTTTAGGGTTTAGGGTTTAGGGTTTAGGGTTTAGGGTTTAGGGTTTAGGGTTTAGGGTTTAGGGTTTAGGGTTTAGGGTTTAGGGTTTAGGGTTTAGGGTTATATGGGGGTTTACGAAAACAGGGGACCCCAATATGGATCCCACATAGTATATATACCCTTGCAATAAGGACCCACAGAAGGTACTTTCGGCAACTCCCAGATAAGGGCCCAAGCTTCAAGCCAAGAGCGCTTGACCCCTTGAGGGGACCAGCCGTGGTTTTACTTGGAGGTTCATGGTACTTATTAACCAATTATAACTGTACTTCTAACTGTACTTATAACCATATTAGGGCACTGAAGGGGCTTATAAGTGGGTTATAAGTACAGTTACAATTGGTTCATAAGTACCACGAACCTCCAAGTAGGGCTTCACCTCTGCAGGATCGACGACGATTTGCTTGCGAATACACCCTAAACCCTAAACCCTAAACCCTGAACCCTAAACCCTAAACCCTAGACCCTAAACCACTCTCATGCTATGACTTTCTGCAGCTTCGCTTCGAAAACCCCAGGCTTGCAGAAAGGCTCTTGCTTGGGGGCTCGCGTACTACCACATGAGAAAATATTGGCCGCCCCCCCCCCCCCCCTCGTCCCTCCCCCCCCACACCCCCATCCTCCCCCACCACAATCCCTATTAAGGACTGCTAGTATAGGGGGCCGAACATCCCAATCCCTAAACCCTAAACCCTAAACCCTAAACGCTAAACCCTAAACCCCCTGAACCGCAACTCCTGTCTCCCCGCCTGGTCCATGGTGGTGCAGCGCCGGTTCGGCCCAAACTGCAGAAGAAGCGCAGCATTGAAGTGGGCATCTCCCCAAATGGGGGTCAGGGTTTAGGGTTTAGGGTGTAGGGTTTAGGGTTTAGGGTTGGGGTTTAGGGTTTGAAGTTTTGGGGGACCTGATTAGGGGTCTGTATGTTCAAGAAAATCCCACTAGCTGGGGTTTCTTTAGGGGTCTTTTAAACCCCTAAATAGGATAGAACCCCATCAAAGGGACTCCAAGACAAGGTGCCCCAATTTTCGGAAACCCCCAGGCGGACTCGTCAACTAGATGAAGGGCTGTTTACGGTCCAGTTCTTCGGTCAACCAGGTGAAGTTTTTTTTTGGGGTTTAGGGTTTAGGGTTTAGGGTTTGGGGTTTGGGGTTTAGGGTTTAGGGCTTAGGGGTTTTAAGTCTTGAAGGCCACCTGAAACCCCGCTGCAAAAACGAGGCCCCGGCCGCAGCGTCATCTGAGGCTCCGGAGGTGCCTACCATGCCCTTCTGGAACCTCAGGGTTTAGGGTTTAGGGTTGAGGGTTTAGGGTTGAGGGTTTAGGGTTTAGGGTTCAGGGTTCAGGGTTTAGGGCTTAGGGTTTAGGGTTTAGAGCTTTGGGCTTAGGGTTTAGAGCGTTAGGGGCTTAGGGTGCAGTGCAGGGTTGAACCTTTCCATGCCCTTCTGAAACTTCAGGAGGTTGTTGAGGTCATGGGCCTAGGGATTCGGGCTTAGGGCCTGGGGCTTAGGGCTTGGGGCTTAGGGCTTGGGGTTTTCGGGTTTAGGTGTGTAGGGTGTAGGGTTGAAACCTTACCCTGCCCTTCTGAAACCTCAGTTTAGGGTTTAGGGTTTAGGGTTTAGGGTTTAGGGTTTAGGGTTTAGGGTTTAGGGTTTAGGGTTTAGGGTTTAGGGTTTAGGGTTTAGGGTCTAGGGTCTAGGGTCTAGGGTCTAGGGTTTAGGGTTTAGGGTTTGGGTTGAAAGCTTAGCATGCCCTTCTGCAACCTCAGAGGTTTGACGTGGTTACGGCTTATGGCTTAGGGTGTAGGGTTGAATCCTCCTGTTTGAGGTGGCAAGGTTTTAGGGTTTCTGGGTTTTGAGTTGTGGTTTTGGGGGGCTTCACGCTTTTGGGGGGTGGGGGCTCGCACACCAGTCGCCGCCCCGCCCCCCCCCCCCCCCCCCAAAAGACCCCACCCCTAAACCCTAAAACGCTCAAACCCTCATCCCTAAAACCCTCCGAAACACTAACCCCAATTAAACCCTGAACCCCACATGAAAGGCAAAAGCTACGCCCTAAAAAAACCCTTTCAAACCCCAAACCCACAGCCCCCCACACCCCCAAAAGGGAGCCCGTCTTCACCCCAGTGCCGAGGTGCATGGGCTGCGGCGCCATGTAGTTGGAGGAGCCTTCCGAAGCTGAGCCGTTGAGGGAAAAAGTTCTACGGTGGACCGTAAAGTACGCCTCCACGGGCATTTCCTTCTGCCATCCACCCGAAAACCCTAAACCCTAAACCCTCAACCCTAAACCCCAAACCCTGTTTTGCTGCACAGCTAAACGGGAAGTAGATGAGCGGCAGGTTTTGAGCGTTGCTTCCTTGAGGTTTCTTCTCTGGCCCATCGGGTTTTTAAGTGCAAAGCAGTAGAACCGAAGAGCCAGAACGCCGCGCGCCATGGACGGAATAGTCTGGTACAAAATAGATCCATCTCAGATGAGCAAATGCCAACTCCGCAAGCTCCAAGCTTGACAGACCTTTACCAACGCCATCGACACTGCCTTCTTGGCCCTGAATAATGAACTCGAACAAACCCTAAACCCCAAACCCTAAGCGTCAAACCCTGAACCACCCACAAGACCGCAAGAAGGGAAAGTGATGCCTGCAGGTGTCGAGTGCACCCTGTTCCACACCGGGTCCTCCCCCAGGTCGTCTCCACCCGGGTCGTCCTTCACTGAGGCGAAGGGGGTTTAGGGTTTAGGGTTTAGGGTTTAGGGTTTAGGGTTTAGGGTTTAGGGTTTAGGGTTTAGGGTTTAGGGTTTAGGGTTTAGGGTGGGGGGGGGGGGGGGAAGGATTCAGTAGGGTTTAGGCTTTAGAGGGTGCTTTGGTGCTACTTAGAGATTCATGCGTGGCTATAAGATATATCGTTGATATGCCGGGCAACTCTAGCCGCATGTCCGGTCATAACCTTGCATGGGGCTCTTGTCACTTCTAACCTCCTATAAACTTTCATTTCGGTGATGAGGATGATGCCGGCTGTGCTTAAAAGTCCTTGTAAGGAATAGGGGTTGGGTACCCTATATCCTGTTCGTGTACTTGGAGGATCATTGGTACTCAAGTAGGGATACAAGTAAGTACCGTAGAGAAGGTTATAGACATGGTTACCTTTCTTAGAACCCTGCTACTGTAAATACCCATGAACCTCCAAGTAGACCCTAAACCCTAAACCCAAAACCCTTAACCCTAAACCCTAAACCCTAAACCCAAAACCCTAAACCCTAAACCCGAAACCCTAAACCCTGAACCCTGAACCCCAAACCCCAAACCCCAAACCAGGTGCCTGGGGGCACTCCTCCGGCTCGGACCGCACCGACTCGTTCTTCGGGGGCCGGTCGGCTGCGGTGTCCGCAGTGCTGGCCACGGAGGGCGAGAACTGGTGTTCCATACCTCGCAGCTGCCCGGGTTTAGGGTGTTAGAGTTCTGCTACCCTGGGTTTAGGGTTCTAGGGTTCTAGGGTATTAGGGCTTTAGGGCTTTAGGGTTTAGGGTTTAGGGTTTAGGGTTCTAGGGTTTTAGGGTTTAGGGTCTTAGGGCTTAGGGTTTTAGGGTCTAGGGTTTAGGGCTTAGGGCTTCGGGTGTTGAGCAACTCACAGCACAGAGCACACAAAGCTCTCGGACGTCAGCCCTCTTCACTTCCCCAGAGAGAGGCCAAAACCCCTTAGCTAAGCAATATTCCTTATAAACCATATAGGGATCCTTAGTATGATTTAAGGGATAATACAAACAAACAACCATAACAAACTCCCAAAGTAACAACACCTTAATTAAGGGTATGTTGGGCTCTTTGGGTCATTCTTCAACTCCAGAAAGTTGGGAACATGGTTCAAGGGCGATTGGTGCTGGGACTCCGTTTAGGAACCCTCTTGGGGTATGAGGATCATGACGTTCCAACTTTTGGGAGGGTTTAGGGTTTAGGGTTTAGGGTTTAGGGTTTAGGGTTCAGGGTTCAGGGTTTAGGGTTTAATCGTTTCCCCCTAATATTAAACGGGGGGTCCCCCCCCCCCCCCCCCCCCCCCAATAGAAATTCGAAATGTGTTTTTATTATTAGGGGGAGGTTTTTATCCAAATGCCGTGTTTGGGGTCCAAAGGGTTTAGGGTCTAGGCTGGGGAGAGAGGGAGCGAGCTTTAGGATGTTGGTTGGCTGGCGGGTTTTGGGTGCCCTGAACCCCCCCCTAATTCGGAATAGGGTTTAAAAGGCGGGGTCGGTTTCGGCAGGATTTTCCGGAAAGTGTTTTTAGTATTGGGGGGGTCTTTAATAAAAGGGGGAAGCGATTATGGAGCTTTTTGAATCTTAAACCCGCGTGTTCCTGGGACCCCGAGCCTGTGGGCAGAGGAGCGCCATGTTGGCGCAAAGCCTTCACCAAGCGCAGGAGACAGAACGAGGCGGACTCGGGCTTCTGACTTTGTGAGCGAGCGAGCGAGAGCGAGAGCGAGAGAGAGCGAGAGAGAGAGAGAGAGAGAGAGAGAGAGAGAGAGCGAGAGAGAGCAAGAGAGAGAGAGAGAGGGAGAGAGAGAGCAAGAGAGAGAGAGAGAGAGAGAGAGCAAGAGAGAGCAAGAGAGAGCAAGAGAGAGCAAGAGAGAGAGAGAGAGAAAGAGCAAGAGAAAGAGACAAGAGAAAGAAAGAGAGAGAGAGAGAGAGAGAGTGCAGAAAGAATCAAGGACCGGCCACCATTTTCTTGCATTATATTTGTCTGCTCGAATGTCACATTCGAATATACGAATATGCACATGCATTATGTATAACTACATAACTAAATATACATATATATATATATACATGTATATATAGACACATATATATATATATATATATGATATTGTTTGGCCTGAGCTTTGGCCGCCGGCCCCACTGTGGGCGGCATGGTTCTCACTCGCACCTGATGGATTTAGGGCTGGCGGGGGGTTAGGGTTTAGGGTTTAGGGCTTAGGGTTTAGGGTTTAGGGTTTAGAGTTTAGGGTTTAAGGAGAGCTGCCCCTTGTATATCCCAAACAAAGAGTCGAGTCTTTATTCCAGGAACCCCCAGTGAAGGGGTTCAACCCTACTTTCGATATACATACAAAAGAAAACACCGCAAAGTACAACCCATCATCAGCGTGAACTCCCATGCCCATGAAAACAGGTGTGCGGTACCAATCAGGAGCCCAATCAGGTCCCAGAGAGCCCAAAACCAATTAACTGAACAATATTCCTTAAACCATAAAGGGATCCTTAGTATGATTTAAGGAATATTCCTTAATCCGCCGAGGCCTCGGGCCGAAGGTGTATTGGTAGTCAGAACAGGCACCCCCCTCCAAATCCTCCAGGCCCAAAGCCCTCTTTCGGACCCCTCAAATGGGTACCCCCCCTAGGTGAGCAGGGTCCGCAAGCGGATGGTTCGCCAGGACCAGAGGCAGTTGCAGCCCTTCCCAGCAAAACCCCCCCTTTTTCTCAGACCCCTTCCCCCCCCCCCCCCCCACCCCCCCCCCCCCCCCCCTACCCCTACCCCCCCCTACCCCCCCCCCCCCCTACCCCCACCCCCCCCCACCCCCCCCCCCTCCCCCCCCCACCGCCCCCCCCCTTGCTTAATTGAATGGCTGGGAGTTTTGGCGCTTGCTCACATTTTTGTGAAAGGCGGAGTTTTCCTGCTCCGACGCGCTGGCTTGAGGGCCGGAGGCTCACTGGTGTGAGCACGGCCGCAAATCCGCCGAGGCCCCCCTTTTTTGCCTCAAATGGGTACCCCCCTGGGAAACCGGGGTCCGCAAGCGGACGGTTCGCCAGGACCAGAGGCAGTTGAAGCCCTCCCAGCGGGCCCCCCCCCCCTTTCCCCCCCCCACCCCCCCCCCACCCCCCCCCACCCCCCCCCCCCCCCCCCACCCCCCCCCCCCCCACCCCCCCCCCCCACCTCGCCCCCCGGTTTTCGAGGCTCAACTCCGGGGACGAAGAGTAACCGAAACCCGAAACCTTCAATCTTAGCTCCCCCCCCCCTTTCCCCTCTGCCCCCCTTCCCCCTCCACCCCTACCCCCCCTGAGGGGCCTGGCTCAACCCTACGATCAATCCAAGCCGAACCGTCTCTTGAACCCTAAACCCAAAAAACCCTAAACCCCAAAGCAAGAACCTTGAGCCCTAAGCCCTCAATCCTAAACTAACCCTCAACCCTAAACCCCAGACCATAAACCATAAACCCGGAACCCTAAACCCGACTTGGGCGCTGCGGAATCACCATGCTCACGCGGATGCGCTGGGCCGGGCCGAGGCGGGTCGCGTAGCGTTAAAATTAAGGAGTATTGGGCTCTTTGTGGTTGCTGCATGAAGGAAAGAAAACTCACCCGACGTTCATGGTCCAGGGCAGCGGGCTGGTTTGGCAGCCTTCGGAGCCAACTGCACATCTTTTGGAGGTGGCAGGGCGCATTGCTCCTAAAGCCTAAAACCCTAAATTCTCAACCTCAACCCTAAGGCCCTAAACCCTAAACCCTAAACCCTACACCCTAAACCCTGAACCAACTTTGGAGCGGCTCCCTCGTGCTGCCACAGGGCCCAATTCGGGTCTTCGCCCAAGTCATCCTGCCCAGCGTCATGGACAACGGCTACTTGGAGGTTCACGGTACATATTAGGGTTTAGGGTTTAGGGTTTCGGGTTCAGGGCTTAGGGTCTAGGGTTAGGGTTTAGGGTTTAGGCTTTGGGGTGTAGGGTTTAGGGTTTAAAAGTTTAGGGTTTAGGGTTTAGGGTTTAGGGCTTAGGGTTTAGCTTAGGGTTGAGGGTTTAGGGTTTAGGGTTTAGGGTAACTCCTGCTCGACCTCATAGCTGCAGGTGCTGAAACATGGAGTTAGGTGTTTGTTGTTGTGTTTGATTAGCTTGACATATGTTATTCTTTTGTGGCCCTGAACCCGAAACCCTGAACCCTAAACCCTAAACCCTGTTCCCTCTACCGGTCCTCCTCGTCGAGCTCCTTCGACTCGTCAATGGCGCGCGACTGCAGTGTCGGGCGGCGCAATGGCCCCGTTACTTAGAGGAACCCTGGGGGTTTTGGGGTTTAGGGTTTAGGGTTTAGGGTTTAAGGTTTTTGGGTTTAGGGTTTAGGGTTTAGGGTTTAGGGTTTCTGTGGGCTGAAGGGCTTCGGGAACGTACTAACTGAACAGCTATGGTTAGCCGTTCCGAGGGTCCGCTGAAGTACCTCCACCCTGCCCTCTTCTTCCATGCAACATGCTCGATTTCTGGAAGCTTCCACCAGAGTGTTTTACATAAATCCTGGGGTCGGGGTGAGGGGGGTACTCTACGCATGAAGGCCAAGTCGTTTAGGGAACAACGTTTAGGGCTTGGGGTACCCTAATCCCTGAACCGCAAATCTCCCACCAGCACAAGCTGTCCAGACTGCATTTTCAAAGCCAAGCGCAGGACCAGCCGCTTGGGAGAAGAGCCCATTGCACCCATCGCAGGCCTTGCGTGCAGGAGTCCCCGTCTGTTTCGGCAAGGGGGTTAGGGGTTAGGGTTTAGGGTTTAGGGTTTAGGGTTTAGGGTTTAGGGTTGAGGGTTTAGGGTTTAGGGTTTAGGGTTTAGGGTTTAGGGTTTAGGGTTTAGGGTTTAGGGTTTTAGGGTTTAGGTTTAGGGTTTAGGGTTTAGGTTTAGGGTTTGGGTAGGTTTTAGGGTTTTAGGTTAGGGTTTTAGGGTTTAGTGTTTTAGGGTTTTTAGGGTTTAGGGGGTTTAGGGTTTAGGGTTTAGGGTTTAGGGTTTAGGGTTAGGGTTTAGGGTTACGGGTTTAGGGTTTAGGGTTTTAGGGTTTAGGGTTTAGGGTTGGGTTTTTAGGGTTTAGGGTTTAGGTTTAGGGTTTAGAGGTTTTAGGTTTTAGGGTTTAGGTTTTAGGTGTTTAGGTTTTAGGGTTTAGGGTTTAGGGTTTAGGGTTTAGGGTTTAGGGTTTAGGGTTTAGGGTTTAGGGTTTAGGGTTTAGGGTTTAGGGTTTTTAGGGTTTAGGGTTTAGGGTTTAGGGTTTAGGGTTTAGGGTTTAGGGTTTAGGGTTTAGGGTTTAGGGTTTAGGGTTTAGGGTTTAGGGTTTAGGGTTTAGGGTTTAGGGTTTAGGGTTTAGGGTTCAGGTTTAGGGTTTAGGGTCTAATTTAGGGTTAGGGTTCAGGGTTTGGGGTTCAGGCACATCCGTCTCAAGGAAAAGCTGCATATTGGGCTGGTGTCAATGAAAAGAAACCGTCTTTATACCCCCGCAGATCCAGCTTCTGTTCTAGCCACATTGTGATTTGTTCGCAGAAATTGTTGTGCGGTAAGCGTATCCGGCGAGTTTTCTGATCTGAGCTGCCTCAGGGCATGCTTCGGAAAGTGTTGCAACAGCGAAGGTGCAAACTGGGCTCTCAGCTGTGCCATTCCCATGTTCCGCACGGGCTCCTGCAAAAGCAACGCTCAAAAAATCCCAAGCCCCACGCCCTTCAGACTGAACTGCCACAGACTACAGCTGTTTATTGTTTTTTTTCGATGGAGAGGCATGGTTGGTCCGACGTGGGGCTGCGAACTTAGGGGGTGTGACCGTGCATTTTCTCCGAGAAACGTCGAGCATCTCGAGCTGTAAGTGCAACAGCGCTGTAAATATACCCTAAACCCTAAACACTAAACCCTAAACACTAAACCCTAAACCCTAAACCAGTGCTTTGGGGCAAGTTCAGATTGGGCGTGCAGCAGCGAGCCCATGTTCCGGAAACCTCACGCATCTGCCCAGATCATCTCCTTACCCCCCCCCCCCCCCCGACACCTTTCCGGTGGGAGCCTTTCCGAAGCCCAACCCTAAACCACGGAAGCCACCCAGACCCTAAACCCTAATCCTAAACCCTAAGCCCTAAACCTTAAACCCTAAACCCTAAACCTTAAACCCTAAACCCTAAACCCTCAACCCTCAACCCTAAACCCTAACCTGGCGCCAAGCGACCCTCAAGCTCCCTTCGCGGGACCATCCAGGGATGGGGCCTCGCCAAGAGCGTGGAGCATGGTGGGGTTTGGGGTGTAGGGTTTAGGGTTTAGGGTTTAGGGCTTAGGGTTTAGGGTTTAGGGTTTAGGGTTTAGGGTTTAGGGTTTAGGGTTTAGGGTTTAGGGTTTAGGGTTTACGGCTCAGGGTTCAGGGTTCAGGGTTCAGGGTTTGGGGTAACCAGATACAACACTTGCTGCAGGAGCGGGAGGGATTCGGGTTTGGGAAGACCTTGCATCAATCCGGTGGGTTGGGTTCATAGAGGCAGATGTCCACTACAGTTGCTCGTATTCGTGGTATTCCAACCTCGAGGCTCTTGCTTTACGAGGGGAAGCAACCCGAGCTTAAGGTTCGTGGATGCGTCTAAGTAGGGTTTAGGGTTTAGGGTTTAGGGTTGAGGGTTGAGGGTTAAGGGTTTAGGGCTTAGGGTATTTGAGGCACGAACCTCCAACCAACCTGACACAAACCAACGAGCGACGGGACCTAGGGAATCCAGGTCATCTTCGTCCTCATCTTCCTGACAAGCCGCATGGGTTGAAAGCTTAAAGTTTAGGGTTTGGGGTTTAGGGTTTAAGGTTTAGGGTTTAGGGTTTTGGGCTTAGGGTTTAGGGTTCACAGGCAGATGCCTGGGCTCCCTCTGAACCCTGAGACCCTGAACGCTGAAACCCTAAACCTTGACCCTAAACCCTAACCCTAAACCCTGAGATGCTACACAGGCAGAGGTGCTAAACACTAGGACCATAAACCCTAAACCCTAAACTGTAAACCCTAAATCCTAAACCCTAAACCCCAAACCTCTCATCTTGACTTCAAGCTTGCCACGGCCCCATGATCCCTTGTTTAGGGTTCAGGGTTTAGGGCTTAGGGTTTAAAGTTTAAGGTTTAAGGTGTAGGGTTCAGGGTTGTCAAAGTCCTTAAACAGGAATTGGGATCCCAATACCATGGTTTGTGGCTTCAGGAACTCACTCAACAACCCAAGGCCCACACCCAAACACCCCCCCCCCCCTTTCGTGAAACCAACAACCCTCAACCCTCAACCTCAACCCTAAACCTGAACCCTAAACCCAAAACCCCTAAATCCGCAGCAACAGCCTCCGCAACGTTTGCCACCCTCTCTCGGCCTCCATCACGGTGGCCTGCATCTGCTGGTTGCCCCCTTCCTGTCGGAAGACACCCAGCTGCCCGAGCTCCTTCCTGGGGGAAGAAATGGGTTTAGGGTTTAGGGTTTAGGGTTTAGGGTTTAGGGTTTAGGGTTTAGGGTTTAGGGTTTAGGGTTTAGGGTTTAGGGTTTAGGGTTTAGGGTTTAGGGTTTAGGGTTTAGGGCTTCCGAGATGAGGGGTACCTTATTGGGGTCCTTCATTACATGGGAATCCTACCATTTCGGGGGTCTACATGAAGAGCCACCTGAGTTTTGGACCCCTGATTCCCAAACCCTAAACCCTAAACCCTAAACCCTAAACCCTAAACCCTAAACCCTAAACCCTAAACCCTAAACCCTTTTCAGAATGTCACTTGCGTTCAGGCATGGTGTCTTGCCGGACTCGGGGGTCGAAGATCTCGGTTGCTTCTTTAGGCTTGTCCGGTAACCCGGGGGAATTAAAGGTTAACCTTTGGTATTTTTTTTGCAGGGGTTAGAATACCCCCAAAATGGGTTCAAGGTTACCTACTCTACTACTAAGGCTTCTTGAGGCTTGTGCGGTACCTTCTTCTTGAGCTGCTTTGGGACCACTTTCTAGAATTTTCCCATCTGAACTTAACAACAGCTCCAAAACCTCGCAACACAGGGGGGGTTGGATTTAGGGTTCTCTCGGGCTTAGGGAAGAAGATGTGCAGCTTGCAGCAACTCTTGGCTGCCCAAGCCCGGAAGCCCACGCAAGTCCCTACCAACCCTAAACCCTGAACCCTAAACCCTAAAGCCTGAACCCTAAACCCTAAACCCTAATCTGGATTTTTTGCCGTCAGGGGGCAACTTCTGCATGCGCTCCTCCATCTTCTGCCTGGCTGTAGATGGGGCTACCCTGAGACTCTAAAACGCTAAACCCTAAACCCTGAGATGCTACATGCTAGAACCATAAACCCATAACCCTAAACCCGAAACCCTACCGTAAACCCTAAACCCTAAACCCTAAACCCTAAACCCTAAACCCTAAACCCTAAACCCTAAACCCTAAACCCTAAACCCTAAACCCTAAACCCTAAACCCTAAACCCTAAACCCTAACCCTAAACCCTAAACCCTAAACCCTAGCAAACTGGGCAGGGCACTGCATGTGCTGGTGATACTGTATCTGCTGCTGCAACAGGTGAAACTCCTGGCAGGCACTTCATCCCTTGGAGGAGGTTGCTAACTGAGGTGGGGTGCCTTTTAACCCAAAACCTACTGATTCTTAGCAGGGAATCCCTAAACCCTGAACCCCAAACCCCAAACCCTAAAACCCTAAACCCTAGAACCCTAGAACCCTAAACCCTAAAAACCCTAAACCCTAAACCCTACACCCTCCTTAATGGGGCGTTTGTGTCCACAGGCGTTCATTCACGGCCCTTCGCGGGACATTTGAGAACCTCTAATTGTTCTACCTTGGACCCTGAAGGTTGTACCCTTGGATTTTGGGCTCCCTTCTTACCCTAAACCCTCAACCCTGAACCCTAAACCCTAAACCCCATATTAAGGGGAGCCTTTAGGGGTACAACCTTAGGGGCACGAGTCTTCATCCCTTGAGAACCATCCTTCTGCGAGTCTGCCGCTGCTTTCGGCCCAGAATCCTGGCATCTTCGGAAGTTCAGGGTTTGGGTTTTGGGGTTTGGGGTTTAGGGTTTAGGGTTTGGGGTTTGGGGTTTGGGGTTTGAGGTTTGGGTTTGGGGTTTGGGGTTTAGGGTTTGGGGGTGAAGCGGTTTAGGGTTCTGGGGCATGGAGAGCGAGTTCCCTCAAATAGAATCATGTATAAGGATGTGCGGACGCATGAGATTACTTTGATTTCTGGGGTCTTTCGCGCACTCTCAGTCCTGCTGACGATTATGAGAATTGCGGGCACATTACAAGAATACATTTCGTGCCCATGTAAACAATCATAATATTACTAATTACGGGCGAAAATCAGAGTAATAAAGTGCACGCACACAGTAGATCAATATTCTCACTGCCTCATGCCTTCCCTGTTTTGGCCGTGTAATTAATTTCTTCCTGCTTATGGATCTGTGTTCTGCTTTGTAGCTCTTGCGACGATATCTTGCGAGATCAGGGAAGAAGGAAATTCGAGGCCCCTAAATGCCGCACGAAGGCTCATGGGTTAGTTCACGAGTAGGGTCATAGGTATGCGAAGGTGACGTCTAACTATTACTATACTTGCCCTGCTAAACCCTAAACCCTAAACCCTAAACACTAAACACTAAACCCTAAACCCTAAACCCTAAACCCTAAACCCTAATCCCTATCCATGAATCTCCAAGCATGCATCCCGGCCTGCGCAATCGGCGGCTCAGCTTGCGGAGCCGGCATTCTGGGAGCAGGTTTAGGGTTTAGGGTTTAGGGTTTAGGGTTTAGGGTTTGGGGTTTGGGGTTTGGGGTTTAGGGTTTGGGGTTAGGGTTTAGGGTTTGGGGTTTGGGGTTTAGGTTTTGGGGTTTAGGGTTTGGGGTTTAGGGTTTAGGGTTTGGGGTTTGGGGTTTGGGGTTTAGGGTTAGGGTTAAGGGTTTAGGGTTTAGGGTTTGGGGTTTGGGGTTTGGGGTTTGGGGTTTGGGGCTTAGGGTAGAGTTCTACAATATATAGGGCTTATAGGTTGACCTGGAGCTGCTGGTGCTAACTGGACTCTCATCCCCAAACACTCGCGAAGCAACTGGCGTTTGTGCGGTCTAGGGTTTAGGTTTAGGCAAAACCTCTAACCCTAAACCCTACACCCTAAACCCTAAACCCTAAACGGTCCGTTCACACGCAGCTGCCAGAGCTGAGAAACATCTCTACTTCGAAGCTCTCAAGCGGATGGGGGTTGCTAGTAACCATCGGAATGCTAAGCTCTGCATGGAGGCTTCTGGAGCGCGCTTCTGCATGGCTTCGCTGAAACAGCTTGAACTCCGTAACCTAAACCCTAAACCCCAAACCCAAAACCCTAAACCCCAAACCCTAAACCCCAAACCCTAAACCCCAAACCCTAAACCCCAAACCCTAAACCCTAAAAACCGAACCCTAAATCCGGAATCCAAGGTTGCGCCTCCTTCAGGGAAGGGGAGGCGTAAACCCAAGGTTCACACATGTCAAAGGGCTCCACTCAGTGGCTCTCGCCAGGCTTCCCCAAGCGTTGTCGTGATGCTTAGGGTTTAGGGTTTAGGATTTGGGGTTTAGGATTTGGGGCTTAGGGTTTAGGGTTTAGGGTTTAGGGTTTAGGGTTTAGGGTTTAGGGTTTAGGGTTTAGGGTTTAGGGTTTAGGGTTTAGGGTTTAGGGTTTAGGGTTTAGGGTTTAGGGTTTAGGGTTGAGGGCTAGGTTTAGGGATGCGCATTGGATCTCCCAGACTCCGGCTTTCTCTTCTCCACAACTCGGCAGGTCTCCATGACATCAACGCCAAACTCCCTCACAATCTTCCGCTTTGGGGTTTGGGGTTTAGGGTTTAGGGATAGCCCTAAACCCTAAACCCCAAACCCTAAACCCTAAACCCTAAACCCCCGACCAATCTTGGGGACTCGTCAGAGCCTATCAAGGCACATTCCCCTAAACCCTAACCCTAAACCCTTAACCCTAAACCCTAAACCCTAAACCCTAAAACCCTAAACCCTAAACCCTAAAACCTCAAACCCTAAACCGTAAACGCTGAGCTGGAAAGACAAGTGAAGGCCAAAACCAGGAAGGAGGCCTCAGGGCATCGAAATTCTGCGCCAGCTTGCGTAGGGTTGAGGGAACCTGAACCCTAAACCCGAAACCCTCAACCCGAAATCTCCTAAACCCCAAACCCCAAACCCCAAACCCTAAACCCTAAACCCTAAACCCTAAACCCCAAACCCTAAACCCTAAACCCTAAACCCTAAGAAAGCCTCTGCATTGGCAGCTGCTTCGGAGAGGACATCTCATCGAAGCCGGGATTCGGCTGAAGCCTCAGTCGCGTTTAGGGTTTAGGGTTTGGGGTTTAGGGTTTAGGGTTTAGGGTTTAGGGTTTAGGGCTTAGGGTTTTGGGTTTAGGGTTGAGGGTTTAGGGTTTAGGGTTTAGGACTCTCAGGAATCTTTGCCATAGACTTCATAGACTCTATGGTTTGGGGTCAAGATGGGCTTAGGGTGGACCTAGGCACAAGCGCCAGGCCAAGCCAGAAGGTTACTCTATGTTTTGGGTCAACAACTTGTGGGCTGGTAAACAGCCTAACTGGGCAGGTGATGGTTACTTGTCGGGAATGTCGCACCATTACACTGAGAGCTCTGAGCCGTATTGCTTTATTGCACGGGAGTCGGACAGAATGGCAGAGCCCGAGAACCATTCAAGCGAGCAGCAACTGTGGTTGCATCTGCAGCGGCATCTGCTGAGACGCTTGCTGCCCGCCTTGCATCTGCTGCTGCGGCGCTTGCCGCTGCGGCGCTTGCTGCTGCGGTGCTTGCTGCTGCGGTGCTTGCTGCTGCGGCATCATCGGCTGCTGCAGCATCTGCTGCTGCGGTCTCTGCGGCTGCACCTGCGGCTGCACCTGCGGCAGTGCCTGCGGCAGCGCCTGCGGCAGCGGTGGCGGCTGCGGCGGATTCATCTGCTGAAACAGCTGCTGTGGCTGCAGCATGTCCTGTGGGAAAGCGGGCGCCTGGCTGCCCATTGCCTGAACAGCACTGGCAGGACACTGAACAAAAATGGGTTCTGACATGACCATGCCGCATGCCTGGTGCAGTGGCTGCTGCGACAGTGGCCTGAAGCAAATCATGATGCACCTCGCTTGCCGCTGTTCTCCACACAAGTCGGCGAGGAATGCTGAGGCCCAGACAAAGCATTGGATGCCTCCCCGGGTGTGAAGCCCGAGCTTTGTTTGTCCCCCTCTCTACAAAGATTGAGACGGTTCTACGTTCGCATATTCAACCCTAACCCCTCAACCCTAAACCCGAAACCCGAAACCCGAAACCCTCAACCCTCAACCCGAAACCCTGAACCCCACTTTCCATTTTGGCATGAGGCTGCTGAGGAGGTGCGTCTCTTCTGATGCCTCCTGCCTGTGTGTTTAAAGGGGACTTGCGATGGCTTCTGGCTTGGAGCTTGAGGATTTAGGCTTCGAACAAACTCTAAACACTAACCCCTAAACCCTAAACCCTAAACCCTAAACCCTAAACCCTAAACCCTAAACCCTAAACTCTCCTCTCTCCTGGCTTTCAACAGGGCTGAGCCACCACAGCTATGACTTTTGCGCCCAAGATGCCTCACCACACCAAGGGCCTGAACCCAAACCCGCCGCTAGGGTTGGCTTTCGGGTTGAAGGGTTTAGGGTTTAGGGTTGAGGGCTCCGACACCCTAAACCCTAAACCCTAAACCCTAAACCCTAAACCCTAAACCCTAAACCCCAAAAACCCTCGAGCCCTAAATACCCCCCTGAAGAACCCCGGAGTCCATCTCTCCGGGCCTCTCGGGGCTGGGGCATCGCAGGCATCAAGTCGCGCAGGTTGGGTACCTGGCCGGGCATCTCAGGGGAACGAAGGGGGGGAGGGTTTAGGGTTTAGGGTTTAGGGTCTAGGGTTTTGGGTTTTGGGTTTTGGGTTTAGGGTTTTGGGTTTTGGGTTTAGGGTTTAGAGCTTAGAGAGCTCGATTTCAAGCTTAGAGCTGAGGGTTTAGGGCTGAGGGTTTAGAGTAGATCCGGAGAGATTCGGGTATGAGGTCCTGCTGAAGCCTCAAAGCTTGAGAACGTTCTACTTTAGCTTGGTTGCTGAATTCAAAAGCCCCAAAAAAGTGTACACTTTCAGTTCTCTAGGTGATTATACTGTCCCAGAATGTGTAAAGTGTACTCACTCAGCTACTCAGTTAGTGCTACTACGAAATGGGCCCCAGTGCCTTGGTGGGACTCAGGCTTAGCAACCATGAGGGCACTTACAAGCAAGGATGTAAGCAGGGTAACTATGGTTACAAACCTATTTGGGGTCCTTATAACCCTACTTCTAGGTACCCATGAACCTCCAAGCAAACCCTAAACCCTAAACCCTAGACCCTAAACTACCGTTGAAAACAGCGCCCCGTCAGCCTGAGACATCATCTGGGTCATCGCCGTCGCCGGGGACAGCCTTTGTGCCAACATACTCCTAAGCCCTAAACCCTACACCCTAAACCCTACACCCTACACCCTAAACCCTAAACCCTAAACCCTAAACCCTAAACCCTAAACCCTAAACCCTTGGGTCAATGGCGCTGGAGAGATGCTTTTATGGAAGCCACGGGCCGTCAACCCCCTTCAAGCCATCAACCAAGGCAAGCCCTAAACCCTAAACCCTAAACCCTAAACCCTAAGCCCTAAGCCCTAAAACTGGGTTTCGGGTTTGAGGCTTCGGGCTTCGGATTGAGAGGTTGGAAGGCTTTGGGTTTGCCTAAATCAGCACGCTGCTCCCTGGCAAAGACTTAGGGTTTAGGGTTTAGGGTTTAGGGTTTAGGGTTTAGGGTTTAGGCTTTAGGCTTTAGGCTTTAGGCTTTAGGGTTTAGGGTTTAGGGTTTGGGCTTTAGGCTTTAGGGTTTAGGGTGTAGGTTTAGCTTCGCAGATCTGTGGCAGTCGACAGTGTTGCCCAGGCCATGAACCCTAAACCTCTCAACACAATAGTATCCCCAAACAGGCACTAACCTGCTATATACACTCACCAATAGTGATAAGAAACCCTACAGACACTCACCAATAACAATAATCTAAACCCTGTTTCGTATGGGCCTTCTCGTTGATACATCTCCGTATCGAAACGTGTATCCCAACAAACGGGCCCGAACGCAGCTTTGGGTACGAAAAATGCTCGTGGAACCTACGAAAAGATTCACATACCAAAGCTGTCAGGGAAGCCTACAACATTCTACTGCAACCCTCCACCTGCTTGGAGGTCCATGGGCACTGATAAGTAAGGCAACTATGGTTACAAGCTTATTCTGACCTCACTTGTCAGTACCGCCGAAACTCTCAACCAGTGCAACCCTAAATCCTAAACCCGAAACCCCCACTTAGAAGCACCCAGGAACGTGCAAGCACTCTTGAATTTCAAGAGCCAACCGCCGAGGTCCCAGCGGGTCCACGCCGAAACCAGGCAATTGTTCGGGACGAAACCTGCTGCAATGGACCCGGAGGTTCCTAGGGTTTAGGGTTCAGGGTTTAGGGTTTAGGGTTCAGGGTTTAGGGTTTAGGGTTTAGGGTTTAGGGTTTAGGGTTTAGGGTTTAGGGTTTAGGGTTTAGGGTTTAGGGTTTAGGGTTTAGGGTTTAGGGTTTCGGGCCCTGGCGATACTAAGTGGCAATTCGTGGCTACTGTTAGGGAACTAGATATAGGTTTGTCTACCGCCAAGAAAAACGTAGAGTCGAAGGTCTTCTTCCGATGGTCAATCCGAAGAGTCGAAGGCAGGGTTTAGGGTTCAGGGTTGAGGGTTGAGGGTTTAGGGTTTAGGGTTTAGGGTTTAGGGTTCAGAGTTTCGGGTTTAGGGTTTAGGGTTTAGGGTTTAGGGTTTAGGGTTTAGGGTTTAGGGTTTAGGGTTTAGGGTTTAGGGTTTAGGGTTTAGGGTTTAGGGTTTAGGGTTTAGGGTTTAGGGTTGGGGTTTGGGGTTTGGGGTTTGGGGTTTGGGGTGTATATAGGGTTTAGGGTGTAGGGTTTAGGCGGTTTAGGGTTTAGGGTTTAGGGTTTAGGGCAGGGCAGCCCTGCAGGTTCAGGATCTCCTCAATACCTTGAATCTTTGCTCATGGCAAGCTCAAACTCCCTAAACCCGAAACCCTAAAACACCCTTAAAAACCCTAAAACACCCTAGAAAACCCTAAACCTCAAACCCTAAACCCTAAACCCTAAACCCTCCACCCTACAATTAAACCCTAAACCCGAACCTCTGGCTCACGGACGGTCTGAAGACATGAAAAGGGCCGAGGTCGGCACGGCAGCGACGTCAGGGGATCCGGCAAGGGTAAGTCCTGCCCGCTGACTTGAGGGCGGAGGTTTAGTGTGTAGGGTTACGGGCCCCTAAGGTGACATGTGGGTCCAAAATGTTCAGGGTTGAGGGTTTAGGGTTAAGGGCCCCCTAAGGTGACGTTTGGCTGCAACGCGGTCACGACTTAGGGATTAGGGTGTAAATTTTAGGGGGTTTAGAGGGTCTAGACCCCCAAAACCTAAACCCCCAAACCCTAAACCCCAAACCCCAAACCCTGAACCCCAAACCCTAAACCCCAAACCCTAAACGCCAAATCCCAAACCCCAAACCCTAAACCCCAAACCCTAAACCCCAAACCCTAAAACCCTAAACCCCAAACCCTAAACCCCAAACCCTAAACCCTAAACCCCAAACCCCAAGCCCCAAATACCCCGAGCTTCCTGCGCCAACATGGGCATCTGCGAAAGATGTCCCAGGAGGGACGCGTCTGGCCCTGCATCCGGGCGACTCCTAGTCCTAGTCTAACTGTTAGGTTTTTTCGGGCTTAGGGTTTAGGGTTTAGGGTTTAGGGTTTGGGGTTTGGGGTTTGGGGTTTGGGGTTTGGGGTTTAGGGTTTAGGGTTTAGGGTTTAGGGTTTAGGGTTTAGGGTTTAGGGTTTAGGGTTTAGGGCTAGGTTTAGGGCTTAGGGTTTATGGCTTCGGGTTTAGGGTTTTGTTCAGCCCCTGCAAAGGACTTTGAGACAAGCCCTGAAGTTCTTAGTCCATAAACTTTGCCATAAACCAAGAGACCTCAAGCAACTTGAAGCGCGTCTCATGAACCTCCGCGCTTCCTTGCTCCCCCCCCCCCTTTTAGAGGTTCCGGGTTTGGGGTTTTCGGGTTTCGTGCTTAGGGTTTTAGGGTTTCGGGCTTAGGGTTTATTCCCCCCCTCAACAGGGCCTGAACCTGCACCCCAAAACTCTTGCACTGGCTCCTCGGCAGGCGCTGAAACAAGACCGAGCCCCAAAAAGCCCTGCAACCCCCCCGCCCCTCCCCCCCTGTCACCAGAAAACACCAATCAGAGCTCCCCTAAACCCAAAACCCTAAACCCTAAACCCTAAACCCTAAACCCTAAACCCAAAACCCTGTTCCTTTCCGAATTCGGCCTGTCGGACCAAGTCCGAGTGTTGGGGCGAGAAGGCCCGACCTCGGCTCTTCCGGGCAAGGAGTTGGGGGTTTGGTGGTTTAGGGTTTAGGGTTTAGGGTTTGGGGTTTAGGGTTTAGGGTTTAGGGTTTGGGGTTTCAGGTTTGGGGTTTAGGGTTCAGGGATAAGGGTGGTGCAGTCGCGAGGAGTTGGTCCACGGCGTTTCCGCGCCACGTCTCAAATGACCAGAGATCGGGCCCCACTAAACACCCATGTTCCGAACAAAATTTCACAATCTTGAAGATTCCGGAGATCCCTCCGAAGATGCCACCACGTAACCCTAAACCCTACGCCTTAACCCTAACCTCTAAACCCTGAGTACACTGCCTGAGAGGAAGCAAATCCGTCAAGGGCTCACGTCCAAAATTCTCGAGAACGGGTTTCCCTGAGTCCTAAACCCTTGGCGGTTTCGGGTTGCATGGGCATGGCAAGCTGCTACCCAAGAAAGTGATGTGTGTTTAGCTTGGGTTAACGAACCGTCTTAAAACTCGTTTCAAGGCCTATAGTAGCCCCATAGTAGCTTAACAGTAACCCTTTGTAAGTACTCCCTAACTAGCCGCATGGGAACACCCAAAATCCATCAAGTGCCCTAAACCCTAAGCCCTCGACCCTAAACCATAAACGGCTTTCTGGGCATCGGACAAACTGTCAGGAAACTGCATCTGGTTGAACGCAGGCTGACCTCCAAGGGCGCGTAAAAGGATCCCTACCAAAACCTGAACCCAACTAAAGCCCACTAGCAATTTAGCCCTAAACCCTAAACCCTAAACCCTAAACCCTAAACCCTAAACCCTACTTTCCAGAGGCACTTTGGACCGGCCTCGTCCCTGATCCTTGGGGGGACCGGGGAGTCCCTGGAGGGCGCCTGGAGGCGTCCAACCCAGCGGCATCCTGGGTTTAGGGTCTAAGGTTTAGGGTTTAGGGTTTAGGGTTTAGGGTATTTAGGGGGTTTAGGGCTTTTAGGGTTTTTAGGGCTTTTGGGGCTTTCAGGGTTTTTAGGGTTTTTGGGGCTTTTTTTAGGGCTTTTCGGGCTTTTAGGGCTTTTAGGGTTTAGGGTTTAAACCCTCAACCCTTATAGGGTTGAGGGTTTAGAGCGTGCGTTCTTCTTGGCTCTGTTTGTTGATTTTGCGTGCTTCGGGCCTCGAACGGCGCGGTCATAACTAGTGATCAGCCGCAACGGGCATGACTTGGGATGTTCCCCCTTATACTAACGGTCCTGAATCGAGATTCGAGTACCCCACTCTTAAAATCCCTGTTAAGGACTGTTAGTATAAGGGGGAACATCCCAAGGCATGACGCCTTCTTTTCTGGGTCCAACCCCCACCCCCCACCCCTCCCCCCTCCCCAAAAAAACAAAAAACAACGAAGAAAAACAGAAAAAAAACCCTCAACCCATAAATATGACCTGCGGACGAAGTCGTCCCATCGGCCCGAACAGGCCTACGTTCACTCCGGCATGCTGGAGTGGAAGTTGGGCTGCTGCAGGCGTTTTGAGGGCTTCAGGGCAGCCAAGACCCTGCAGTAAACTCCAGAAAGTTGGGTTCCAGCTGGGATTCCCTTTAGTATGCCCTTTCAGGGCAGGCGGATAGGGATGTTCCAACTTTTGGAAGTTTGCTGCTACTCCAAACCCTGAACCCAAAACCGGGTCTTGAGATTTAGGCAGCTCGATGTAGGTCTTTCGAGTATTTGCTACTTGCTTAAGAACCCCACAAGAACAAAAAAGAATAATCCCTATATTCCCCTGATAAGGAAGAACATTTTTTCATGTTTGGGTGGGTTCTTCAGCAATTCGTCGCTTGGGGTGTGGGGTCTCAAGGCTTCAGATTGCAAAATGCCAACATTGCCGCCCAGCAGCTGAGACTGCTTCAGGTGGTCCTGCACATTCAAGGCTTTCGGGTTTAGGGTTTAGGGTTCAGGGTTTGAGGTTTAGGGTTCAGGGTTTGGGGTCTAGGGTTTAGCGTTTAGGGTTTAGGGTTTCGGGGTTTACCCTACTAGTAAAACCGTTTACCCTAAACAAGATGGTTGGCGCCTCTCTTCATACAAACGCACCCTTCGAGCCAGCATGAAAACTAGAACCGAAGGGACTGCCGCTTACCAAGTGGATGTGTTGCCACACGAGCCATATAACGCTCGGCTTGAACTCCGTTCCTGAAAGACTTAGGCTGACGGCGCCTTCCGCATTTTTAGCCCCGCACAATCTCGGGGTAGCCCAGTAACCATACTATGGTAAGGGCAGCCTTTTTGGGGTTGGCTACTTTAAAAGGGAGCCCTGAACCAAAAAGAGGGAAAGGGGTACCACTGGGCCATCAAGATCTGGTCCTGCAGCTTCTGATGTTGCTGCAGCTGCTCCTGTAACTGCTCCTGGAGCTGTTGCTGCTGCAACTTTTGCTGCTGGATCTTCTGGCTGAGGAGCAGATTCTGCTGCTCCATCGGCAGTTGCCTCACGGGTTTAGGGTTTAGGGTTTAGGGTTTAGGGTTTGGGGTTTAGGGTTTAGGGTTTACGGTTTGGGGTTTGGGGATAGGGTTTAGGGTTTGGGGTTTAAAGTCTCCGAGACCCCCCGGAGCCGATTTGCCAAGGTGCTGTTCTTGCACCATGCCCGGGTTGTCTGCCTGCCGCCTTGCAAGTCATGTTTAGGGTTTAGGGTTTAGGGTTCAGGGTTTAGGGTTTAGGGTTTAGGGTTTAGGGTTTAGGGTTTAGGGTTCAGGGTTTGGGTTTAGGGTCTAGGGTTTAGGGCTAGCTGCTGACATGATGCACACGTCACGTGTCAGCTGAGGGCCACGCTTTTGCAGAGCAGAGGCATGGTATCTCCGCAGCGTCTGCAGCTCTGTAATCTGCTGCAGTCGGTTGATGTTCTGGTGCCTTAGTCGGGCCGCGACGCATTCTTGAGACAACGCGCCTGAGAGCCGGAGCCCTAAACCCTAAACCCTAAACCCTAAACCCTAAACCCTAAACCCTGAACCCTCAACATCCCTAAGCCCTACTTAAACCCGACTTCAATGAACCCCAACCTTGGGCATCCCAGGAGTTGGAATCATACTTCAATGGAACCTGGGGTTTAGGGTTTAGGGTTTCGGGTTTAGGGTCTAGGGTTTAGGGTTTAGGGTTTAGGGTTTAGGGTTTCGGGTTTAGGGTTTAGGGTTTAGGGTTCAGGGTTTCGGGTTTCGGGTTTCGGGTCTCGGGTTTCCGTGTTGTTCTGTGTTGTGCGGCTGTCAGAGACGTTGCCCGAAGATGGCCTGAGTTCTAGCCCCCAGGGGTGAGCGAACTCTCCGCCGACCCTGGGGGGCGGCATGTCTTCTCAATGCGATCATTTCACCAGTGTTATGAGGTTGTTGTTGCTGTTGTTGTTGTTGCTATTGCTATGGTTTTTGTTGTTGCTCGTGTTCTTCTTGTTGCTGCTAGTGTTATTCTCATTGTGCTTGCTATTGGTATTGTTAGTATTGTTCGTGAGATTGGTCTTGTTCTTGTTCTTGTTCCTCTTCTGGCTCTTGTTCTTGTCATGGGTTTCCCTACAACCCCCCTCTATACTCCCCCCCCCCTAGGTTGCCCCCTTAAATACACCTCAATTAGGCTTAACTATCCCTGAGTAGCCTTAATTTTTGGGGGGAACCTAGGGGGTAGTGTAAAGGGGGGGTAGTAGGGGAACCCATGTAACCCTAAACCCTAAACCCTAAACCCCACACCCCAAACCCTAAACCCCAAACCCTAAACCCTAAACCCCAAACCCTAAACCCTAAATTTCGCAGAACACCCATGGATCTTGGAACCCCCCCTACCCCCAACCCCCAACCCACTCCGAGCCGCTCTTTCCGCTGCAGCTCGGGGAGGCGTGAGTCGTTGGGCTTCAGCTTCCGCATCTGCATCTGGCCTTCGAGCCTTGGCGTGAGCGAATTGGGTTTAGGGTTTGGGGTTTAAGGTTTCCGGTTTAGGGTCAAGGGGTTGGGGCTTAGGGTTAGGGGTTGGGGTTTAAATTCTAGGGTTCGGCGATCAAGCAACAGGGCCCTACCCCAAATCGGATCCAAGGCATTACCCGGCTCGGCACGGGCTTGGCCGTGTGGGTTACTTGGGTAGTTCTCTAAACTAGGGTCTTTTTTTGGGAGTCCTTTTTGTTAAGGGTGCCATACTTTACAAAGGACCAAAAAAGGGACCATAACTTAGAGAGCTACCCAGGTGGAGGTTCATGGACACTTGGGGACTTAAAGGGATCCGAAGTATGGGCCCGTATATGTATAGTGTGTACAAGGGTTGTATAGCAGGGGGGCCAAATTAAGGGCTCACACTTTGGCTGCCCTATCGGGTTTAGGGTTTAGGGCTTCGGGTTTAGGGTTTAGGGCTTAGGGTTTAGGGCTTAGGGTCTAAGGGTTCAGAAGTAGGGTTACCCTTCTGGGCAACTATGGTTATAGCCTTATTCAAGGTCCTTATGCGCCCTACGTTGTTTGTACCCCTAAACCCGAAACCCCTGAATCTCTACTTACAAGTACCCAATGAACCTCCAAGTACACACTCCTGAGAAGGCCTTGCCGGCTTGGGGATGCTTACGTTTTCGGGGTTTCGGCCCTTGAAGGGCCCGGGCTTACCGGATGTAGGCTTTGGGGTTTAGGGCTTGGGGTTGGGGGTTTGGGGTTTGGGGTTTTGGGGTTTTGGGTCTTGGGTTTTGGGTTTGGGGTTTGGAATTGTCGAGCAAGCGATCTCCGAATCGGGAATCTTAGTGCAGATGCGGGATTCCGAAGATTGGGGGCAGGGGGGGGGGGGGGGTCAAGGGGAGTCGACTACTTTAAGGTTGATACTTTAAGGTTCATGAGTACTGATAGGGAGGGTTATAAGTACCCTGAATAAAGTTACAACCATAGTTGCCCCAACTATATCCCTGTTGTTAAATACGGTCTCAAGGGAACCTACATGCTAAGTGGAAACTCCCATAAACACTAAACCCTAAACCCAACCATGGTCTTTCTGCAAGCCAGTTTGCACGCTTTGCTTGAGTACCTCCATTTCCTGCCGAGAAGCAGGCTTTCGGGGCTCAGGGCGTAGGGGAAGCAGGAGAGCAAAGGCAAGGGTAGGCAACGTGCATGAGCCCAAAACCCTGAACCCTGAACCCTAAACCCTAAACCCTAAACCCTGAACCCTGAACCCTAAACCCCAAACCCTAAACCCTAAAAGCCCCAAACCCTAAAGCCTGAACATGCTGGAGAAAGACACAAATTACGCAGAAAGCCCATGAGAGCCGAACTCACGGGTTGCCGTTAGATCCCTGATGCCCCCTCAACCCTAAACCCTAAACCCTAATCCCTGAACCCTGAACCCTAAACCCTAAACCCTGAACCCTAAACCTGACCAGAGATAGTCAGGTGTTCGGAATTGGGTTCCTTGTCTTGACCTTAGGGTACAGGGCACGAAAGCCCCCCCCCCCCCCCCAATATAGGGTATAGGGTTTAGGATTTTAGGGTTTTGGGGTGTAGGGTCGAGGTTTTAGAGTTTAGGGTTAGGGGGGGGAAGCTCTTGAAGAGAACGATTGTGTGCCGCAGAGGCTTCGGGTTCTCTTCTAATGACCGACCCAGTACCCGCTATTATAACCCCTATTAAGGACTTCTAGGAGAAGGGGGGGAACATCCTAAGATTCCCTAACTCCGAAATTTGAAACCTAAAGCCCCCTTAAGGCCTGAGCCCCCCTAAAACCCTAAACCCCCCTAAACCCTAAACCCCCAAACCCCTAAACCCCTAAAACCCCTCAACCCGAAACCCGAAACCCTAAACCCCCAAACCCCTAAACCCCTAAAACCCCTCAACCCGAAACCCGAAACCCTAAACCCTAAACCCGAAACCCGAAACCCTAAACCCGAAACCCAAAACCCCCAACAAGCACTCCGGCCTCAGCAAGGCCCGAGAAGGTGTCGGCGAGTTGGGGCCCAGGCTGACGGGGGCCCACCTTGTCCGGAGGGGTTTGGGGTTTAGGCTTTAGGGTTTAGGGTTTAGGGTTTAGGGTTTAGGGTTTAGATTTTGAGGCTTCAATAAGTTGACAGGGACTGCCTACAGGATGACAGAGGCTGGGTGTCAAGGCGGAAGTGTTCGATGTTGACGGAAACAAGTGGCCGCAGCAGATCTTTGCAGTGCGACCGATAAAAGAGTTGAGGGGCTGGAAACCCTAAACCCTAAACCCTAAACCCCTAGACAAGGCGTTGGCATGGCATCAGGGTGGGAAACTTGGTGTGCACCTTATTCAGCTTGGGGGGGAGGGGGCGGAGTTGTTCGGAGTGATGGTCCCCAAAAAGTCGTCCCCAAGCACTTACACCCTCAAGGTACCCTTTCGGGGGGGGGGGGGTTCCCTTTCAAAGGGATTCTAGCCTATTTGAGGCATACCCTTTCACCCCTATTTTGGGAAATGCCTAAATCCCTAAACCCCCAAACGGATACCCCGTGATCTGCCCAAGCTTCTTCAGGACTGTTCTTGGAACCCCGTTTGCGAGCTCTCCTTCAGCAGCGCTTCAGGTTCAGGGCTTAGTTTTTTCTAGGTTTTGGAACTTATGGTTTAGGGTTCAGGGTTTAGGGTTTAGGGTTTTAGGGTTTAGGGTTTAGGGTTTAGGGTTTAGGATTTAGGGTTTAGGAATTAGGGTTTAGGCTTCAGAGTAGTCTGCCTGCAGGCGCGCCGGATCGCCATAGGTTCCTCTGGTCATCACACTGCCTGCAGGCAGAATCCCCCAACAGCTTAGTTCTGCACCTTTTAGAACCCTAAACCCTAAACCCTAAACCCTAAACCCAAACCCCTAAATCCTATGCCCTAGACTGGGCCTGACATGCACTAACCTTTACTGGCAGGATGTCCAGCCATCTAACAGACCTTGAAGCCATCAGGGTTTAGGGTTTAGGGTTTAGGGTTTAGGGTTTAGTGTTTAGGATTTAGGGTTTAGGGTTTAGGGCTTAGGGTCTAGTAATCCTGCCAATATACCGTCTGTGAAACGTGCTTGGCCCCATATTGCTGGACCTCCTTTCTTTCTCTTCCGAGCTCTTTGTAGGAAATGGGGGCCTTCTATGTAAACTTTTGAGGGTTTAGGGTTTCGGGTTTAGGGTTTAGGGTGTAGGGTTTAGGGATTGTATAGGAAAGTTACCCCTTCTTCCCTTCGTCCTGGTGGCCTGCTTCGGACAGCATGGCGGCGGCAAGCTCTTCCGGTAAGCCGGGCATGTCCGGAAGACTCCTGATACCCCCTAAACCCTAAACCCTAAACCCTGAACCTAAACCCTAAACCCTAAACCCTAAACCCTAAACTCAAATCCCTAAACTCGAATCCCTAAACCCTCAAACCCCAAACATCCGAGTCGGCCCCTGGGAGTATGGCGAGCACACAGGAGGCAACCCCACCTCTTACGGCCCCTCCAAGGCCCGTGCGGAGAGTGCGGAGAGTTGCAGCCACTCTTCGTTGCTTGGGATGGGTTCCCACCCCCCCCCCCCACCTTAGCAGCCCTAAACCCTAAACCCTAAACCCTAAGCCCTAAACCCTAAACCCTAACCCTAAACCCTAAACCCCCCCCCCCCCCCCCCCCCCCCCCCCAGCAAGGGGTCCGGGACGGTGTGCATCAGGACGAGTGCGCGGACCATGGGGGAAAGACACCAAATCCCCGCTCCCCCCCCCCCCCGGGAACAACGTTGCCCATGATTATGCGAAGTTTGAAAAAACACTGAGGAAGCCCTGAATGATAGCAAGGTTACCCGGAAGAATGCACAGTTCGAGGGGGGGAGGGCTCCCTGCAGGGAGCCAACAAAACAAAGACCCTAAACCCTAAACCCTAAACCCTAAACCGCCTTGAAACCTTTGACCCTCAAGCTTCGAGCCTTGGCCAGATTCCAGCTTCAAGTTCCAGAAGCTTCTGGACAGAAGCTTCTGGAGCCGGGTTTTTATAGCATTTGCTTACGAAACAAGGCCCCAAACAGTGTTCCACGCGAGTGGTAGCCCACGAGCTGCCTGGTGCACTTTGGCATATTTCTTCGGATACCCAGATTCATCCGGAGGCCCCCTGCCAGGAACCAAAAAAAACAAAAAAGAGTGCTGAATAACGAGGCCTGGAACCCCTGAACGCTCGACCGTTGAACTCCTCAACCCTTGAATAGAGGGTGTCCCAAACTTGTTTTGTCTCACCTTTTGACACTCCCCACCCTTACACTCAAAGAGCTGGCCTAATATAGGAGCCTCAATAATTGAAACAGGGTTTTGGGGGGCTCTCATAGTATATTTCTAGAGACCATAAGGGAATACTGTTTGTAATCATTCCGACCCCTTTATTAATCGCTCCATCGCCTCGTGATTGCTTGTTCTGTTTTGCACGCGTTTTCGTGTCTCACCAAGCTCACCTCTCCCTCCCCCCTCACCATTTCTTCTAAATTCTGGGCCAAAATCTGGGGCGCCATATTCTTCCACATAAAGGCTGCTTTTTTTGCAAGAGGATCCCCAAAGGGGAATAATTGCCACAACACCCCCAATCTGGGTGAAGTAGCTCCTAAGATCGTAGCATGCACACTCGGTGCCCACGGTTTGGCGTTTGTGGTTTAGGGTTTAGGGTTGCCCGCCTTGCCGGCCGAGGCGGGTCGCGTGGCGTTAACAATCAACCCGAAACCCTAAGCCCCTAAACCATAAACCCTTAAACCCTAAACCCCAAACCCTAAACCCTAAATACGCCCCTCTTCTTGTAACAGGTCGCCACTTACGGAGAAGCTACACAAGGGGGACTCCTCAGCCCCCAAACCCTAAACCCTAAACCCTAAACCCCAAACCCCTAACCCTAAACCCTAAACCCCTAACCCTAAACCCTAAACCCTAAACCCTAAACCCTGCACCCTAAACCCTAAACCCTAAACCCGGGACCCTAAACCCTAAACCCTAAACCCTAAACCCTAAACCCTAAACCCAGCCCCTGTGGACTCCTCAGCTCTTCCTTCGAGTGCGCATGTCGGCATAGGTTGCCCAACTTGCAGCTGCCATAGTCTCGGCACGGAGGGCTTAGGGTTTAGGGTTTAGGGTTTAGGGTTTAGGGTTTAGGGTTTAGGGTTTAGGGTTTAGGGTTTAGAGGCTCAATGTTGCCAATAGCGCGCCCTGGTGCTGTGAGTGCTGGCGTCTGAGCTCAGAGCAGTGGAAGCAGCACATGGTGGTCTTGTAGAACCTCGCGCCCCCAAAAGCTGGGTTTTGGGTTGAGGGTTTAGGGTTTAGGGTTTAGGGTTTAGGGTTTAGGGTTTAGGGTTTAGGGTTTAGGGTTTAGGGTTGAGGGTTGAGGGTTTAGGGTTTAGGGTTCAGGGTTCAGGGTTAAGACTTAAGATTTAGGGGGTTTAGGGTTTGGTCCCTTTTGGGGTCACGATTGTATGGCGGCCCCTATTTTTTCAACCCGAAGAGGAACCACAATCTTGATGATGGCCAGATCACTACGACGAGGTTCATTGCAGCACTTATTCGTAGGGGTTGTAAGTGAACCTTCTTCAGGATCCTGAGAACCTAATCCTAAACCCTAAGCCCTAAACCCTAAACCCGAAACCCTAACCCTAAATGAACCTTCAGAATGAGCAGCAGGAGCGCTGCAATATCAGATCTGGTCACACTGGGCCACCCAGCTTGTCAGTAGCCCGGAGCTCATCCAGGCTGTGGGCAAAGCTGCAGTCCTCATCAGTCATGATTCCCATGTTTTGGGTTTTAGGGTTTTAGGGTTTTAGGGTTTTAGGGTTTAGGGTTTAGGGTTTAGGGTTTAGGGTTTAGGGTTTAGGGTTTAGGGTTTAGGGTTTAGGGCTTAGGGTTTAGGGTTTAGGGTTTAGGGTTGAGGGTTTAGCGTTTAGGGTTTAGGGTTAGAGATTAGGGTTTTTGCCTTAGTTCAAGGCTTCAAAAAAAAGAGAGAGAACAAGCACGAGCCGGCGCAACCTCGCGATCGCAGAAGCCATTGGTCATGAAGGCTTTGCACATCGCCGTCTTCCTCCGAGCAAACTCGGAAGCAGCTATAGCATCCCCTACATGGGAGGTTCATGTGTACTTTGGCATGTTCCCCCTTATACGAACAGTCCTTGATAGGGATTAGAGTACCCCCCTACTTTAATCAATCCCCACATCTCAATGTGTACTTACAACCCCAATGATCACTGAACCCATTCGCCCCCTCAGTGCAGAGCTTCTTCAGGGTCCCCTATACGGTCATTTCGGTATAGTCTCCGAATGTTTAGGGTACCCAAAAAGGGTGGTGTCTTGGGATGCTCCCCCTTATACTATCAGTCCTTCATAGAGATTATACTAGCCACTATGATAATCCCCATTAAAGGCCGTCAGCATAAGGGGAAACATCCAAGTGGTGTGTATCTACTACTTGCTGAAGAACCACCCGCTACTTGGAGATTCATGGATACTTATAACCCCAGTTGTAACTGCGCTCATGAGCCCCCTAAGTCCTCTAAGTAGGTGAGAAGTAAAGGGCTTATAATTGGGTTTACAAGCACCCATGAAACTCCAAGTAAATACACCACCCTTATGGCCGCAACCGCCCGAAGGCGATAGCCTAGTTTTTGGAGGTTCATGGGTGCAGGTATCAGTAGGGTTTCTAGGTTCCAGCCGCATTTAGTGTCCTTCCAACCCTGCTTGTAGGTACCCATGCACCTCCAGGCCCGAAACCCTAAACCCCAAACCCTAAACCCTAAACCCCGAAACCCCAAACCCTAAACGCCCAAACCCTAAACCCCAAATGTGGCACGCGCCTGAGGTCTGGAGCAGACTGCAGCTCGTCCATCCCGTGGGCAAACTTGCAGAACTTTCGGCCTGCGAACTCCCACGGAGAACCCTTAAAAAACCCCTAGTCTCAAAGCTCTAAAACGCCCGAAACGCCGCAAAACAGCCCCAAAAGCACAAAAAAAGAAAACAAGCCCTAACATTCCCGAAAAGCGATAACCCTGAGAAAAAAAGGAAAAAAGGACAAAAGCGAGAAAGCACTCCTCGGACCAAAAGAGACCCTGAGGCGGCCACTGCACCGCCCACTTTGGAAAAACATGCAGAGCTTGGTCCTGCACCGAGGGGTTTTGGGGCTTGGGTTGCGGGGTTTTGGGGTTTGGGGTTTAGGGTTTGGGGTTTGGGGTTGTAGGGCTTTGGGGGGGCATAGGGTTTTAGGTTGGCCCAATAATAATGCGTTTTTCTTGCGCTCAAAATAGGTCTTTTACCGAGCGTAATATATAATAGTACGAAGTGAATGCAATTGAAATACAAGGAACGAAGTGACGCGTGATGTTAATTGTAAGAACGCCAGTGAGCACAAGAGCCCGTTTTGGGCTCTTCATATTAATACAACTATTCATGCGGGCTATTTTGTAGTTCTTGTGTTCGGGTTTTGTGGATTTAGGGTGTCAGGGTTTTTCGGCTTGTTTGAGGTTTTGGGGTTTTGGGGGGCTTTAGGGTTTTGGTTACGAGCTTTGACTCCCTGTTTGCCTGGCCACACCCGCCACATCCTAACGGTCTAGGCCCTAAGTGATCCCTATCCTCCCTCTACACCCCCTAGAGACCCCAAACAATATATTCACACTCTAAACACCCCAAGCAACATGGGGTTTCCCGAAAATAAGAAAGCCCCTGTAATACCCCAAACAGCAGGATCCCCTTTTAACAAGGACCCCAATAAGGTACGAGTACCCCCAATTTCGGGAACGCCAACTTATACACCCCCCTAAACACCCCCAAACAATACCCTAAACCCTAAACCCTAAACCCAAAACCCTAAACCCAAAACCCTGAACCCTAAACCCTTGTTCTGCCAGCGCCCCAAATTGCCATGTGCCGCACCCTCTTCGGGTTGCACATGTGACTCGAGTCTATCGGCTTGAGACGAGGGCGGACCCTTAGGTGTTAAAACTAAGCAATGTCTTAGGTAAGGCCACCAGACAGCAAGAGGGTTTAGGGTTTAGGGTTTAGGGGTTTAGGGTTTAGGGTTTAGGGTTTAGGGTTTAGGGTCTCGGGTTTAGGGTTTAGGAGTTAGGGGGGCAGGGCTTTTTTTACACCCCGAATTGGCTCCCTTGGCACCCTGTTCAGGATTTGGGTTTTTTTCGCACCCTGTCCGGACTGCCCTGGGCTGGGTCTGGGGCTTTTTTCGCGCCCGGGCTGAGTTTAGTGCTGCACATGTTTAGGGGCGATTCCCAGCTTGGGGGTCGGCTTCTTCAGGGGGATTGGAGTCATTTGGGGATGAGGCCAGGCTGGGTCTCATAGCTGTGCTTAGGCTTAAGGCTTACAGGTTGAGTTTCGGTGTTATGGCCAGGTTTAGGGTCCATGGAGAGACCTCTACCGTTACGTTTCGGGCTTAGGGCGCTTTGGGGTCTTTTGTTTTGGGGGGTCTTTTTTTTATCGATTTTCTTGGTTTTCTCTAGGAAAAACCCTACTTTCCTTACATTTTGGACGGATTTTCTGTCATTTCCCTTAGGTTTTCGTTGGTTTTCCATAGGGAAAACCGTATTTCTTTTAGATCTTAAACGGATTTCCTGTCATTTCCCTTAGGTATTCCTTGGTTTTTCCTAGGGTGTCATTTCCTTGAGGTTTTCGTTGGTTTTTCCTAAGGAAACCCTATTCTGCTTACATTTTGGACGGATTTCGTCAAACGTAATAGCGTACGTTGCTTTTCCTTCTTTTTCCTAGGGAAAACCCTATTTGGTTCGTTTCTTGGTTTCTATCATTCCCTCTATATTTTCATCGGATTCATACTACTTTTCGTCAGATTTCTTATTAATGCTTCTTTTGTGATTCGCTTTCTTGGTTTTTCGTAGGAAAAAGCTACATTCCGTCCATATTTTCATGGGATTCATACTACGTTTCGTAATATTAACTATCTTTATGGTGTGTTTTCTTGCTTTTCCTTGTAAAAAGCTGCATTCCCTCTATGTTTTCATATTATTCATACGCTCACATGATGGGTGTCAACAAGTTCTTGGGCTTTGAAGCGCGCTCTGCACGGCTTGAAAAAAAGCGGGAGGGTTGGGGGGGGCGCAGCCCCAGCCCCCCCCCCCCCCATTTGCAAACGCAATGTGATGGGCTTCAACTGCGCGGCCAAAAAAAAGCGCGGGGGTTGGGGGGGGGCGCAGCCCCCCCCCCCCATTTGCAAACACATTGCTCACACGATGTTTTTTTTTTCTCTCAACTAGTTTCTTTGGCTTTGAAGCAAGCTTGGCACGGCTTAAAAGAAGCGGCGGGGACTCAATAATCTGGCTGTTGCCCGGTCGCACGCCTCCGAAACTTAAACCCCCTAGACATCACGGTCTTGCGCCAGAAATGATGCAATAGTCTGGCTGTCGTCAGGTCCTTGCTCATGACTCTGCGTTCTGACCTCACCTACTCGCAGCTCCCGTGAGCATGCTTCCCAAACCTAAACCTAAACCCTAGACATCATGGTCTTGCCTCAATAATGACGCAATAATCTGGCATGCATGCCTTCCGAACCCTAAACCCCCTAGACATCACGGTCTTGTGTCAGAAACGATGCCATAGTCTGGCTGTCGTCAGGTCCTTGCTCATGACTCTGCGTTCTGAGCTCACCTACTCGCAGCTCCCGTGAGCATGCTTCCCAAACCCTAATAAGCCTAAACCCTAGACATCATGGTCTTGCCTCAGCAATGACGCAATAATCTGGCTGTTGCCCGGTCGCATGCCTTCCGAACCCTAAACCCCTAGACATCACGGTCTTGCGTCAGAAATGATGCAATAGTCTGGCTGTTCTTGGTTTTCTCTAGGAAAAACCCTACTTTCCTTACATTTTGGACGGATTTTCTGTCATTTCCCTTAGGTTTTCGTTGGTTTTCCATAGGGAAAACCGTATTTCTTTTAGATCTTAAACGGATTTCCTGTCATTTCCCTTAGGCATTCCTTGGTTTTTCCTAGGGTGTCATTTCCTTGAGGTTTTCGTTGGTTTTTCCTAAGGAAACCCTATTCTGCTTACATTTTGGACGGATTTCGTCAAACGTAATAGCGTACGTTGCTTTTCCTTCTTTTTCCTAGGGAAAACCCTATTTGGTTCGTTTCTTGGTTTCTATCATTCCCTCTATATTTTCATCGGATTCATACTACTTTTCGTCAGATTTCTTATTAATGCTTCTTTTGTGATTCGCTTTCTTGGTTTTTCGTAGGAAAAAGCTACATTCCGTCCATATTTTCATGGGATTCATACTACGTTTCGTAATATTAACTATCTTTATGGTGTGTTTTCTTGCTTTTCCTTGTAAAAAGCTGCATTCCCTCTATGTTTTCATATTATTCATACGCTCACATGATGGGTGTCAACAAGTTCTTGGGCTTTGAAGCGCGCTCTGCACGGCTTGAAAAAAAGCGGGAGGGTTGGGGGGGGCGCAGCCCCAGCCCCCCCCCCCCCCATTTGCAAACGCAATGTGATGGGCTTCAACTGCGCGGCCAAAAAAAAGCGCGGGGGTTGGGGGGGGGCGCAGCCCCCCCCCCCATTTGCAAACACATTGCTCACACGATGTTTTTTTTTCTCTCAACTAGTTTCTTTGGCTTTGAAGCAAGCTTGGCACGGCTTAAAAGAAGCGGCGGGGACTCAATAATCTGGCTGTTGCCCGGTCGCACGCCTCCGAAACTTAAACCCCCTAGACATCACGGTCTTGCGCCAGAAATGATGCAATAGTCTGGCTGTCGTCAGGTCCTTGCTCATGACTCTGCGTTCTGACCTCACCTACTCGCAGCTCCCGTGAGCATGCTTCCCAAACCTAAACCTAAACCCTAGACATCATGGTCTTGCCTCAATAATGACGCAATAATCTGGCATGCATGCCTTCCGAACCCTAAACCCCCTAGACATCACGGTCTTGTGTCAGAAACGATGCCATAGTCTGGCTGTCGTCAGGTCCTTGCTCATGACTCTGCGTTCTGAGCTCACCTACTCGCAGCTCCCGTGAGCATGCTTCCCAAACCCTAATAAGCCTAAACCCTAGACATCATGGTCTTGCCTCAGCAATGACGCAATAATCTGGCTGTTGCCCGGTCGCATGCCTTCCGAACCCTAAACCCCTAGACATCACGGTCTTGCGTCAGAAATGATGCAATAGTCTGGCTGTCGTCAGGTCCTTGCTCATGACCCTGCGTTCTGACCTCATCTACTCGCAGCTCCCGTGAGCATCCTTCCCAACCCTAAACCTACACCCTAGACATCATGGTCTTGCCAATAATCTGGCTGTTGCCCAGTGGAACACGCCTCCGAAACCTAAACCCCCTAGACATCACGGTCTTGCGCCAGAAATGATGCAGATTTCTTATTATAATTCTTCTTTTGTGATTCGCTTTCTTGGTTTTTCGTAGGAAAAAGCTACATTCCGTCCATATTTTCATGGGATTCATACTACGTTTCGTAATATTAACTATCTTTATGGTGTGTTTTCTTGCTTTTCCTTGTAAAAAGCTGCATTCCCTCTATGTTTTCATATTATTCATACGCTCACATGATGGGTGTCAACAAGTTCTTGGGCTTTGAAGCGCGCTCTGCACGGCTTGAAAAAAAGCGGGAGGGTTGGGGGGGTCGCAGCCCCAGCCCCCCCCCCCCCCCCCCCCATTTGCAAACGCAATGTGATGGGCTTCAATTGCGCGGCCAAAAAAAAGCGCGGGGGTTGGGGGGGGCGCAGCCCCCCCCCCCATTTGCAAACACATTGCTCGCACGAATTTTTTTTCAACTAGTTTCTTGGGCTTTGAAGCAAGCTTGGTACGGCTTAAAAGAAGCGGCGGGGACTCAATAATCTGGCTGTTGCCCGGTCGCACGCCTCCGAAACCTAAACCCCCTAGACATCACGGTCTTGCGCCAGAAATGATGCAATAGTCTGGCTGTCGTCAGGTCCTTGCTCATGACTCTGCGTTCTGACCTCACCTACTCGCAGCTCCCGTGAGCATGCTTCCCAAACCTAAACCTAAACCCTAGACATCATGGTCTTGCCTCAATAATGACGCAATAATCTGGCATGCCTTCCGAACCCTAAACCCCCTAGACATCACGGTCTTGTGTCAGAAACGATGCCATAGTCTGGCTGTCGTC